CTCTGCTAACAGAGAGATACCAAATCTCATTGCTGCCTTATGCTGATATTCCAGAGGCAGAGAAAAAACAGGAAGGAATATAAGTTTTGAAACAGCTTTTCATTTTAGTTACAGATTATACTTTTCAGTTTTTGAAAATAAAGGCTACTCGTGGACTTCTGGAACATGCATTTTTCTGATTGCTTCTCCGTAATTTCTGGTTATGTCATTCTGAAAATAAATTATGTGGCTGCGCTAGGAATTGCTTTCATTTTGTACCTTTAACACATGCATACAGGCTCTAAACAATTAGACAGTCCTATCACAAGCTTTTAGAGGGTACGCCAGTACTTAGACAGTCTCATGTGAGAAAAAGCAGTATTCTTTCATTTATGCTTCTTACAGTCTGTTACTGGAAACTCCTTTCTCATATTACCAAAACGCAAACAAAAGAGTGAATAATTGTTGGAAAACTCAGGACAGAAGGTGTTTGGAGAGTCTTGCTAGTTTTCTGACTGTTTCTTTTTAAAGTTCAGAATCATGGAAAGTAACAGTACTGCTATGTGCACGGGAAAGTAGATCTTTGGTTTTAAGCTTGGTGTGATTCCTGCAGTTCTACAGAGCAACTATGAAGCTTGCTCTTCTGAAGAGGGTTTGTAAAATATGAGCAACATCAGAGCGTGGGGCCTAACAGCCACTGGGGCCTAGACTTCTACTGTAGCTTTAGGGCTGTAAACGTGAGAGTTAACGAATTAAGCCAATTTTAAAGAGCTAGTTAAATGATAGTACAACGATACTGCTCAGAACTAAGCATCTTTCACTTCACTTAATTTATATGAAGTTTACTATCACTTTCCCACTCAAGGGGAAGTTGGATGATAAACAAAGTAGTGAATTGTCAGTCTTGCCATGAAGTGAAGGTTGACCAAGTTTGAGCCAAAAAAAGATCTATTTCTTTCTGAGCATGAGGAGGAAGCATCCAGTTTGTTGAAATTTGGGGATATGACTTGATACTGTGAGTAGTTACGCCTGAAACTGCAAAGGCATTACTGTTCTTCATGTGTGTAAAGAGACTGTAATAGGAAATTATTTCTTGTATTAAAGAAGCCAGATGCTTAATATCTTCATATATTCTTTTAACTACTGAAGGGTCTATTTCTCTTGAAGAGGTATCTTGAGCAGAATCATTTTATGAAAAAAATTATTCATCTGGTAGTATTTTTAAAAGCAACACACGGTTCATACACCCTTTCTGTACTAGCTACAAAATAGCCTCGGTAGAATTGAAGACCAGTCTGGCACCTCCACCTTTCAGAAACTTATTTGAGGAACTTTGAAGAAAGTGTCATCAGTTTTTAGAGGTTTTGTTTGATTGGTTTTGTTTTTCTGTGAAAGATTCCTGAGAACTGCCTTTCATTTTAATCCTATTTATGTCTGAATCGTTGGGAATACAATAGTAGAATGAGGCAAATGGAAAGCTGGTCTACTGGTATGATGATGGAGGAAAAAAATCTTTATATTGTTAGTATCTGTGACCAATTCATCAATGGATGTACAATGCTGACTAAACGAAATGTTATGTTATAATATACATTGTATTTTTTACTATTTAAAAAAAAAAAAAAATAAAAATGCAGCTACAGTGTACGTGGTGTCATTCATGCATTTATTTTTTTTTTTTCAGTGATGACCTACTGGAGGATTCAGACAGCGAAGAGCATTCCAGATCGGAATCTGTGACAGGTAAGTTATGTGATCCATGTGATAGGTTAGAGGTTAGATGGGAAATTGCACTTCTCAAGCTTTTAAAAAAGCCCTGCAAAACCAATGATTATATTCACTGTATTAGAAAAAAGATTGTCCTTGAAAACAATGCCAATATTTAAGTCACTGTGTGGTGGAGAGATTACATACAGGAGAAAAGAAAAAACCCTAGTTTGTTGGTTAATAAATGTCTTATTTGACAACAAACATTGCTTATCTTGCTGTCAATAAAACACACAAACCAAGTTAAAAGAACTTACTTAGAACAGGAACAAATTACAGCTGTACCAACCCCTTTAAATTCAGGGGATTGCCAGAGAGAATTACTGTATTTTGATTGTTTCCCTGTGGGTATGCACTTAGAGTATTTTACCTTCCTGAATAAAGATTTTATGTGGAAGCAGAACAGTGCTATGCACGGTGTTCTCTATTATTTTCTTAGAGATTGAATCAGAAATTTTGATGGGAGGGAGAATTACATGCTTATTTTCCATAATCCAGTTTACATCTTTGAGTAAGGATCAGCAAGCAGGAAAAAAAAAAAGAACCTGTGCATGTGCATACACACAAGGAAGTAAACTCAAGATGTAAAAAGGATTATTTTTTCAACAAGAGTATTAGCAAAGATGGTGCTCTGTCATTTATGCTTAAGTCACCATTTGTACAGTGTCCTTTGTAATCTTTTAAATCTCTATGTTACTAAGTTGAACTCTTCTGATTCATTGTTATTCTTGCAGTACTGTTTAGTTTGATCAGGCTATCTGAAGTTTTTACTGGGTTTTGTTTTATGATAGCTTGGAGTTCTTTCTCCTAGGTGGTCTGTTACGTGGTGGGAAGTATCAAGTTTTAGAGTAAAATTACATGTTTTTTCAACTAAGATTGGAGAAAGAATCTGCAGAATTGCACATTTTTGGTAGTACTGGATTGTCTAGGAAGGAAGGGGAATAATACATGGCAAAACATGAATGGAGTTGATTAGATTAGTTGAATTTCAGTATGGTGGTCTAGCCTAAGTAGAATAATTGGTAGAAAGATAATGCCGTTTACTGGGAGACTTGTTGCAAAGGCTGATGTCCTGTACTCTGTACTTGCACTCTTGTTGACAAAATTAGGAGAACCGTTAATCTGTGTGGAAGGAATGTTTCTGGGCAATGTATTGTTGCTTGATTATCAAATCTTGAGCATATGGAATGTTTTAACATACTGAAACTGTAGAGCAGTGACTTTTTGTTTAATTATGTGGAAAAGTCCATAATATATGCAATATGATTCCTGGTTTTGAACATATATTATGTTAAACATTTTTGTTTTAAAGGGCATACATCACAAAAAGAAACTATGGAAGTCAGCCTTGATATAACAGCTCTCAGCATTCTTCAGCAACCTGAAAAACTTCAGTGGGAAATTGTTGCAAATGTTCTGGAAGACACGGTTAAAGATCTAGAAGAACTTGGGGCAAATCCATGTTTGGCCAACTGTAAGAGTGAAAAGATGAAGGAAAAGCATCTAGAACAACACAACATTCCCTTTCCTTGTTTATTAGCTGGAGGTCTATTAACATACAAATCACCTGCTACCTCTCCTGTTAGCAGTAACTCTCAGAGGTCACTGGATGGCTTAAGTAGGACTCGAGGTGAGAGTGTCTCGGAACAGGGATCAACTGACAATGAATCCTGCACTAATTCAGAACTGAATTCCCCTCTGGTAAGGAGGACTTTACCTGTATTGCTGCTATACAGCATTAAGGAGTCTGATGAAAAAGCAGGAAAACTCTTTTCACAGATGAACAATATTATGAGTAAAAGTATACATGATGATGGTTTCACAGTTCCACAGATCATTGAAATGGAGCTGGACAGTCAGGAACAGTTGCTGTTACAGGATCCCCCTGTGACTTACATTCAGCAGTTTGCAGATGCTGCAGCCAACCTAACTTCTCCGGACTCGGACAAGTGGAGCTCTATGGTTCCCAAACCCGGGACTTTGGTTCAGTGCCTGCGTCTGCCAAAGTTTGCAGAGGAGGAGAACTTGTGTGTAGATTCAATCACTCCTTGTGCAGATGGAGTTCATTTGCTAGTTGGACTGCGGACTTGTCCTGTCGAATCTCTGAGTGCAATAAATCAAGTAGAGGCCTTGAATAATTTAAATAAATTAAACTCGGCACTATGTAACAGAAGAAAAGGGGAACTAGAATCAAGTCTTGCTGTAGTGAATGGCACGAGTGTTGATGTAATCCAACATGAGTCACCAGCAGATGTACCAACTCCTTTAATAATTCAACCTGAACAGAGAAGTGTTAGTGGTGGATACCTAGTGCTTTATAAGATGAATTATGCCACTAGAATAGTTACTCTAGAGGAGGAACCGGTAAAAATCCAGCATATCAAAGACCCCCAAGACACAATTACCTCAATGATTTTGCTCCCACCTGATATATTGGATAATCGAGAGGATGACTGTGAGGAGCCTGTAGAGGAAATACAGTTAACTTCTAAAAATGGCAGTGGGAGAGAGAGAAGATCTGAGATCTCTACTCTTGGGCACCTGGTAATAACTACTCAGGGAGGATATGTAAAAATACTAGATCTTTCGAACTTTGAAATTCTGGCCAAAGTGGAGCCGCCTAAAAAAGAGGGCACTGAGGAACCAGATATGTTTGTCTCTGTGATATACTGTTCGGGCACAGACAGATTATGTGCATGCACCAAAGGTAAGACTTTTCTTTAAACATTTTTTTCAATGCTTGATTTGACTGTATTTGGATTATGTTCTAGAATGTTAGAATCTAAGTGGCAAAATAGTAATAGGCACGTTCCATTGAATTTATGTAGTTTAATTCTGCTCTAGGGAGCATGTACGCTAGTTAATTCCTCATCTTAAATGTAGATTTTAATCTCTAAAATGGAAATAACTCTTGCGTATGTCCAGTGCACTGGTAAACTTGTTCTTGTAGAGGCACAGATTTTTAAATCCAAAATAAATAATAGTAATTATTGTAATTATTTCTGTGCTGGAGATCCACATTTCAGAAAAAATGCCTCCTGTCTGTATTTGGTGATAGTCAAGAAGATAACGCATTTATACCTTATTCAAGTGATCAGTTGTATCTTCTTTCAGGTAGGGCTGCTGGTTCTGCTTCAGCCTTTTGCAGTTGGGATTACGCTTTCCTGAGCATGAGAGCCAGACTATCCATGCAGGATTGTTAAATCTTTTTCAAAATGAACACAGGACATTTTGAGGGAAGGGGGCGTGTAGGAGGGGAGTGTATGTAACTCCAGTCCAGGCAACTGCTACTTCGTATTAGTCCCTGAACCACCACATACCTCCCTGCTTCTTTATGTCACATTGGGGCAGTGGAAATGGCTCTGGCTGTCATCCAACTGAGCTCCTCCATGCACTAATGTCTCAGTTCTGCACTTGAATGCAGCTCTGGTGGAAACGCTTAGCCTCTCAGAAGTGAAGTTTCAAATGAACTCCCACCAGTATCGTGTTGAACTTTATCTCTACTAGAAGGATTTAAATTGACACATTTCCTCCTTTCATGGTGGTGTCATGTTGATTACCCAGTCCTCCTATGAGTGGATGTTAAATCAGATTTACCTGTGATTTCCAACAGATAAAGTCAAGCTTATTGTAAAAATCTGGTGTCTGGTAAGGGCCCTGTGTTTATCACTTACCTACCAAGAGTTTTAGCACTGGAGATACTAGATTTGCTTTTTTTAGTATAGTTTTTTATATATGATAAACTGTTAGTATATCATATCCGTGTCATAATGTTTTTACCTATACTTTGCTGATCAAACTGCAATCTCATTTAAAAACCCCCAAACCTTGCTAAGGTTTTTTTCTATAGAATTGTACTACTATTCATTTCTTTCTTACATCAAATCTATTCTGTCTGTCTTGTGTTTTAAGATTAATGATAAAAGTTAAAGGGCTTGTTACTATGCACGGTACTTTCCCATGCAGTGTTAGCGTGTATGGTAATTATATTCTTGTAGCATTTGGTATTATCTAAACCTGTTTTGGGACTTTGAGTGTAAGACATGCAGGTCTGTTGAGTTGGGAGCATTTATTCTGTGTGCATAGGAGTATTTGTCTCTTCTACCTAGATAACCACCACTTCTGTTACTGACTGGAGAATACTTCATCTTCCCCATAATAGACAAGTACAGCATTCTACTTTTTGAGTAAATATTTCTGTATTTTTTTTCTCTCCAAGAGTGTTACAATATCCATCTAGTAATTTATAAATAGCTTTGCTGTGACTTCTTTTGTTCTTGCTGCCTTTAAGATGACTGGGATTTGGGTTTTTTTTTCTTCTGTAGTCCTATATGCCACAGGTATCCCTCTGCCCTCAAGTTTCCTCTTTTGAATATAGTACTTTGATAACTCTTCATTTTTTTTTTAATCCATTGATTATTCTTCTCTTTCATTTACACTTGATTTTCTGCTCTGCAACCAAATTAGAATGAACTTCAGAATTCATTATTTTCATTGTTTAAATGTCTTTAGAAGCTTTCTATTTTTATTCCTTTTTAACATTTCAGTCACTTCTGGTATAATTTTTCTCACTTTTTGAGAAATTAAGTCCAAAGCCATAATAAATATTTAAGGACCAATGTCCATTAGAAGTCTGGATTTTAGGGTCTGACACTAGATACATCTGAAGCCCTGGAGTCCTAAGGTTTATGCCAAAATATGAAGCTTTGTAAAGAATGACTTGATCTTAAATGTTTATAAATAACTGTACTGCATATAATTTAGGAATACAAAAGAAAAAGCAAATTTAAAAGTTCAACAATTAATATAACTTTCTTATTCTATACCTTATTGTACATTTGAATAACTGGATATAAGGAATAGGTTTTGCCTAATTTGTATTGTGTGAATTGTAATCATCCTTTAATCTTTCTGCTGTAAGTGGGTAAAATTCCTTGCTTATCTGCTAGGCAGCTGAAGACTTTTTTTTTCTTTTTTTTTTCTTAAATGCAGTTTTCTTGGCTTCCTCCAAAATCACGTTGAGGTCTTTGCTTCTCCTTATTTACTACCATGTATGGGATGGTGCCTGCAGTCTGACAGTGTCAGGAAGATGTGTGTTGAAAGTAGAATAGCTATACTCACTTATGTATTCAAGATTAATCTTTCTAGAAAGTAGTTTCTAGCAAACACATAAGTGAAAATGTTGAGTAGAAGATTTGGAACATACATGGATGTATGGATGGTTGGATGTTGTTGGAAAACTATTCAAGAACATAAGCTGAGCAGTATATTCTTTCCTGTTTACTTCCTTGGATATTGGGAATAGGCAAAGAGGTACTTTAATGTCTGAAAGTTTTGGATACCGAATAGCCTTTTTTTTTTCCTGCTGCTCCTGTTTGTTGACATGTTATTTTCATTGGTAGATCATATGATTTTTCCCATAGTTGTCTTTAAGATACAACTGAAAAGAAACCTCTGTGTGAATGGGTGTTTAAAGTTTTGAGTGGTTTTATATAAAGATGTTTTAGACTTGCATTTGACATAATCCATCTTTGAGTTGCGAATAATTATTCTTACCTGCTTCAAAACGTTGTCTCTTGGTGCCTGCTTCAGGTGCTGCTTTGTTTCTGCAAGGATTACCTGGAGTTACGAGCTTAAGTTCTGCTTTTGTAGCATCCAAAATAAGTAAATTCTTTGTTATAAAACTGTACAGTAGGCTGACAAGCATTGGTTTTGAATAGGTGACAGTTGTAGGGTGGTCTTTTGATGACATTTGAAGCCTATTTGGTGTTTAAGGGGATCAGATATAGTTTGGTTTGGATGCATAAATTTCCAGAGCTACAGTTGTTACTGCCACCTTTATATCTCAGTTTTGATCTAATTATATTTCTTTTTTTTAAATTACAATCCTACTGAAAATTACTTAAGAAAACAGTCCACAGTATATATTCTACTTATTTGGTGGTATGGGTTTGTTTTTTGGGTTTTTTGTTGGGTTTGTTTTGAATTGTTTCCTTAGTTTAGCTGCTTAGCTGTGTTTGCCATTCAGGCAATTTTGTTGAACTTTTCTTTAGAATACGGAATGAGTTGGAAAAATGGACATATCTGAAATGTTCCTTTTTCATCTAACATAACGGTGCAAATCCCTGCTTGTGTTTTGTTTTGGCAGTTTTGAAAATTGTATATACTTGTGTTTCTGGGAGTATTTTAAAAAAGATCATTAAGAGTTGTCAATTTTCTGTCTTTCACTGCTACTGATGTTCTCTCTTGTCAAGTTATGAACTTCAGTGTCTGAAGCACTTTGAAGAAATACTATTGAGTAGGAAAGTGAGGTGTCATTTCAAACAAATGTGACAAGAAGTGGGAATGTTCATCATGGTGTGGTGAAGCAGGTACATGCCTGCCAGACTGTCTGATTGAATAGGTGTTAAAATCTGTATGACCTGTTTGAGTGCTTGAGTTCCTTCTAGTGAGTGAAGCATTCCTGGATTGTGCTCACCTGAAACTTGCAATCTAATTCTTTCACAAATCTAGTTTTTTAGTGTCTGTATTGAGTGAAGGTTTTACAGATAATAATTTCCCTGTTGAAAATGCTAGTATTTGTCTTTGCATTACATCTAGCAAAAAAATTTCTCAACAGAAACTCAATTTGATTTTTAAGAAGTGGTTCTTCAGTAGTTCTCTAAATACATTTAGTTACGTTTTCAGTTTATTATTTGGAAGTAGGTTGAGGAAAAGCAGGGGGGGGGAAAGGAGGTTTTCTACTTGTTTTCATCACAGGAAAGAACAACTGTAGTGCTTTTTTGTTCTAGCAGTTCTCTTTTCTGCCTATATTGCTTCAGAACTGACAGACAAAAAGACTCAGCTCCATCTGAAGTTCCCCAATCAGCTTCTCACACATAGCAATTCCTAGATCATACTGGATTGGTTCTTTGGATATTGTCTGTTTCTGAATTAGTCAGAGTTGGAAACTGTAAAAGAGGACCACAAACACTGAATGTAACCTATCATATGCATTTGTATCTTACTGATTGTTTTACACTTTCATTTATAAGCACTTCTTTCTTTTGGTGTTTGCTTTGTGATTATTATTCTTTTAATGTTCTTTTCTATATACGTAATTTTCCTAAATTCTTGCCTGTAGTGTTACATTATAGCAAAAGGTTTTTCTAATCATTCCCCTTTGTTGGAGAAAGTGTTTTTTCAGACTCAGGTTGGGTGTGTCAAAAGTGAGTTGTCTATGCTAATATTTCTTGTTGCAAGCCTGGCAGAGCTGGATGGCACTTCCACACATTTGAGAATTGATTCCCCCAAATCTTATGGTTTTCAATTATAACAGATTTCTTGCTCTTGTACATAGCATATTAATTATTCTCTCTCCCTTTTTTTCTGGTTTTGTTTGGATATCTTATTTGTCTCTTCCATGTCATTAAGCTTTGTCAGCCTTGCATACTGGTATATTTGAAGTTCTGGAATCAATTTTGTGTTTTCAATTTTCTGCCTTCATAGGCAATGGGGTCTAATGGGATTGGGGAGAGGCTGAGTTTTTTCCACATCAGAATTAGTGTTGGAAGTGATGCTAAGAGATCATCTTCAAGTTACTTGCTCATTCAGAAGTAGAGTACTGATCAGCCTGTTTTCGAAGATCTTCAACATGGAGATTTAACAGGCTACTCATGAAATTTCTTCTACTGCATGCTGTCCTTGATGATGATTTCTTTTCCTAGTGTTTAGCCTGTACCATCTTTGCTGATTGGAGTCATTACTATCCTTTATGAACATGGCAAAGACATTGCTTCAAAAAAGGAGGGGAAGACTATTTAGGTACTGTCGTCCTCCAAACATTTATTTTCTTAAGCTGAATATCTCCAATTCTCTTAAACTTTCCTCAGGTGCTTTGAAAGAATAAAACCCCTTACTCTCCCCTCCCAAAAGACTTGCTCAAGTCAGTCCACATGTTTCTTTAATGAGATACCCAAAACCAGGCACAGTAATGCTACAGCTATCTTTCAGTGGAACAGAAGAGTTCCTTAGCAGCTCTGCAGTCTGTACATACCATGTGCGCATATACATAGTGGGATGTTTGCACTTTTGAGCAGGAAACTGAATCAGGTTTATCTTTTGATTCACAAGAGCCTCTTCTACAGAACTGCTGGCTAGCTGATTTTTCTTCATCCCCTAATAGTGCATTTAATTTTTTCTTGCTAGGCGTAGTAACTTTCACTTGTCCCTATTCAATTGCATTCTATTTTTTCATAAGCCAGGATGGAATTTTACAGCTGAAATCTCCAAGAATACTGTAAATTCTGTTGGAGTGAGGTTTTGGGGAAACTTTCTTGAGGACATTTTTCAAGTGTTCTGAACTAGTATGTTTAGAGCTAACCCTTTCTCTACAGCACAGTGATGAGACAAGGAGGACTGTAAGTTGTTTAGTGGATAGTTTACTGTTGTGTGGCTTTGTTTTCTTAATTCCTTTAACTATTTGGGTATTGTTCAACTATGTCCTTGTGTTGTAATTTGCTATCGACAATTGTGTGACTCTTCCAGACTTCTGCCAGAGTGCAGGATATGTTCAGGATACCGAATGTTTCACCAGGTTGGCTTTGACCGCAGTGGCCTAGTCTCTGACATGTTCTCTAACTTGTGCCAGTGCTGCTTTCCTGGAACCTCTAACTGTTTTCCCAGAAGGAAGCTTGAGATTTATTTGGATGGATTTATGATTCTTATGTTCTGTTTGTATAACCCACCAGATTCTTGAATCCAAGCAAATTCCAGATTTAAAATACAATTCAGAATTAAATTAATAATGTTTTGAATGTGTTACCTATTATTTTTGGGAAGTATAATGATCCTGGTTTCCAATTATTCTCCTTTGTGATCACTGAATAAGTCGATGTCAGCTTTCATACCTTCTTGGTAGGGCAACAGAAGCATTTATTGCCTCTGTTGAAGTGAAGCAAGCAGAGGAGTCTTCAGATATACTACTACTACTGATGTTTGCTACCTGGCTAGTATTGGAAAGCACCAGATGAGTCACTGTTTTAGCCTGGTAGTGCATACCATCAGCCAGCAGTAACGGCAAAAAACCAAAAAACAACCCAAAAAAACCCCCAGCATTGATTTTTTTTTTTTTTTTTTTTTGTTGGGGCACAGCCCCCCCCCCCCCCCCCCCCCGCGGCACTTGACTATAGGAACTATGGTTTCTTTGGTACAAATAATGAAGCATGCATCATCAGAACGTCGTCTTTGGATGTTCTAGGAGAACAAATGCCTCCTTTGTGATACAGAAGCAAAAGCCACCTGCAGGGTTTTGGAAAGCATGCATAAGCACTATATAATTTTATGGGCTAATACTGTATAACTGAAGTTCATTATAAACTTCTTAACAGAAGCTTTTTAAAAACAAATATGAGGAAGTGAGATCTCAAGTTTAGCACAGAATTTTTCTTGGAAAAGTGCTGGAGTCTTTCAGGAATGCAGGGATTGTGACTTTGTCGTCTTCTTGTAGTATGGACAAAATGGTAAGGGTGTTTTTCGCTGCTGTTAATTAGTGAAAGAAACTCAAACTTGGTTTGAGAACCAAGGTTTTGTTTCTTTAAAACCAAACCCTACCCTACCATGTACAGAATAAGTGAGACTTTGGCATAACTTTCCCTTAGAAAAACCCACAACTTTCTGAAGTTCTTCAGCATTTCTCCTGCTGTCAGCCAGAAAACTGGCAGATGGTGCAAGTCAGTATGTTGAACTTCCATTGCATGAGGGTGTACTTTATTTCCAGGACAGGAGATTATCTAGTTTTGATCATTGAGATCATTCTGATCGTTGATCTTTGAGCAGTAAACAGAACGGGAGACAAACCGAGGTTTGGCTTATTATCAAATGAAGCTGTCAAGGTCTGCGTTTTCTGTGTCCCTAATTCTCTTTGAGGAAAACTGTTCATTTGTCAGCTGTTTAATTTCAAGGAAAATCATTATTTTAGTGAGCACCTCTCCTATGAAGACAGGGTGAGGGCGTTGGGGTTGTTCAGCCTGGAGAAGAGAAGGCTCTGGGGAAACCTTGCTGCAGCCTTCCAGTACCTAAAAGGGGCCTCCAGGAAAGCTGGAGAGGGACTGTTTACAAGGGCATGGAGTGATGGGACAAGGGATAATGGCCTTAAGCTGAAGGAGGGTAGATTTAGATGAGCTATTAGGAGGAAATTCTTTACTGTGAGGGTGGTGAGGCACAAGGACGGGTTGCCCAGAGAGGTTGTGGATGCCCCATCCCTGGAAGTGTTTAAGACCAGGTTGGATGGGGCTTTGGGCAACCTGGTCTAGTGGAGGGTGTCCCTGCCTGTGGCCGAGTGTTTGGAACTAGATCATCTTTAAGGTCCCTTCCACCCAAACCATTCTATGATTCTGTGATTATAAGTGTTATTTGCTAGAACTATTTTTTTTCCCCTCCGCTCTTGGGATCTGCTTGGCATGGATGGGTTGGGACCGACAGGGACGGGTACAGGCTTCTTTACTGGATCTCAGTGAGAAAGGCCCCATCAACAAATGGCTTAATGAAATAGCTGTTTTAATAAGATAGAATAAAAAGAGAAATACAGATAGTGAGAAAATCTTACATCCTTTCAGATGCTGAGAGCCCTGCTTTTGTGCAGCATCACCCAGACTCTAGGTGGATTTTCCCACAGTATACTGCGCAGATCCTGTCCATGGAGAGGACCTTTGTGGCCATTTGAGCTATTATTTTCCTCTTTTATTCTGTCTTGTTAAAACAGCTATTTTACTAAGCCATTAGTTGTCGGGCCTTTCTTACTGAGATCCAGAAAAAAACCTGTACCAGCTCTCTCTGTGCCTCTCATGCGTCTTCTCTCTGTGCGTCACATGCTTGCTCTCTGCCTCGCTGTGCCTCTCTGTTGCTCTCCATTTTGCTCCCCTCACAGTGCCGAACATGTACCTCCTGATCATGCTTTTGTCTTGGGTTTTTATTACATATATTATCTCAAGTTTGTTTCAAATTACCTGGATAATTTGCATAACAGCATTTGTCATGATGTTAGTCAGATGCTGAAGGACAGTTTGTGATCACTTTTCAGAATAACTATGGAAGGCCAACTTTCAGATTTTCCTCTCTATTTAAATCCTACTGATAGGATTTTTGTAACTTCTGAAACTGTTAACAACCCTTCCCCCCTTCTCCCCCCCTCTTCATGTAAAATTGAGCATTCTTTCTCAGTGACTACTCTGTAAAAGACAGAATCCATCCATGTATGTATATCTGTAGTGGTGAATAATGGGCAACTTCTTTTGAATAGTTTCAAGCTTTCATCAAGGCACTGTGTCTGTTGAAAAATTTGGACTTGCTTTTTTGACTGTTGACCTGATCAGTGTTGTAATTCCTGGTTTGATGAAATAATATGAAGAGCCCCTTAGTTAGGAGAGTTCAATGGGGAAGGGATTTTTCAATTCTCAACTATTGAGCTTTAAAAGAAAATTTATGCGACCTGTACAAATGAAGTAGTGTAGTCCTTCAGTTGACATGATGGAATATTTTCTGTTTAAAAGCATGATTGTGATTATGCGAAGTACCATAATGGTTATGATTTTGGGTTTCTATTGAGATTTCCTTAGTTAATTACCTTTTAACCCCCCTAATATTTTTTCCCTTTTATGCCATTCACAACTGGAGTCAGTATTGTAGTTCTGTTTTGCATTTACCCTGAAAAAAATTGTAGCAGTAAAGCAAAATGAGTATTCCTGTATCATCTTAACTGGTTTCAGGTCCTGCATAATTACTGTCACAATTGTGTAGCACTTCAACTGCAAGCCTGTCTTGTGAGTTGAGTTTAGCTGTATGCCTGTCTAAGCTTACTTTTGTTGTCCGTGACGATTTTAGGTGGAGAACTTCATTTCCTTCAGATTGGAGGGACCTGTGATGACATAGATGAAGCTGATATACTTGTGGATGGATCTCTTTCCAAAAGTGTAGAACAGTCATCAGAAGGCACCAAGCCCTTATCTAACCCTTCCAGTCCAGGCATTACAGGTAAATTACACGTATTTAAATGTATTGTAAGTAAAAATGCTTTTGTAATTTTTGGAAGTTACTTATTAACATGATTTTGAGTTATTTAATAGTGTGCTGCTTTATACTGTTTTGCTGCCAAAAGTTGGAGTTCTGTAGTTGCTGTATGTCTGTCACTGGTTATGTACAAGCATAACACTTTAGCAGCTCCTAATTTAAAAAAAAAGCAAACCACTTTTGTATAACTGATTGTTTTTCCAATTGCTACATGTTATTTTAAGTGCAGCAGACAGGGAAGACAAGGTAATTGTGTAGGCACTGAGCTCTTCATAGTTTAAGTAGGCTTGGGCTCTTTGCTCGGAGTTAAAATCATAAGTTCGTTATGTAAATCGCCTTAAAGTTTCATGTAGAAGCTGTACAGCTCTACTTAATAAAACTGTACAGAACGCATATTCAACAGGTATTGTTGCATGTGGTGAAATTGATGCTCTCTCTACTTCAAGCAGTGCAGTTGCTGTTGATAAATTAATCTTAGGATGTGAACACTTGGATTTTTGTTCTTAGGACTTTGACTGGTTTGAGCTATGCTCAAATTCTGCTGTCATTTACCTACTGATTTCCTTCCTGGAAAGGTTGTCTGCCCTTGGACAGCAAGAAATAATTGTTTCTAATTGTCTGAATTCTATTTTTACCCTAACCATCATATTTAGGTCTTGTCTTTACCGCAGTTCTCATATACCAGTCCTGCCACCAGTCTGCTGCCTTTTGTAGTATCCTGACCCACTTAGGTAAAATAAGGAGTTGGGTGAGAGGGTGGTTGCTTTGTAATCAGGTAGAAGGGGAAAAACGTGAGGGGCTCTTCCTGCTTGTAAGGGAGAACAGTGAGTACACAGGTTATAGGAGCACTTGTGTGGGCCTCTTGATCTTTTCTCAGCCCTCATCAAAGATGGTTTAGTATAGATAACTTGCTACTAAAACGGAACAACAAATCTAATTTTGCTGGTTAAGCTTGAGGAAGATTTGAGTCATGCTGAGGTTTTTAAAGCATGCATATATATATATATATAGTCTTGCTTTGAGTTTTAAAGTGAATTGTTTATGAGACAACTGTAAAACTATTATGTTTTTCATTTTGTTTTAATCTGCAGTTGTTGAGGATAGAGACACAAAGGATAATTATTTTAGTTGGGTTGGAGTTTGGAGGTTTTGGTCATGTATGATGGGACAGAAATAGGGATATACTGGGAATAGGTGACCTAGAATACGAAATGCAAGAATATATAATATAAAGCATGAAGATAAAGCAATGATACAATGGAAATAAACCATTCATGTAGCCATGACTGTTTCAGAGAAGTGATGTTGATTGTGTGTGTGTGTGTGGTGGGGGGTGTCTTTGCCTGCAGCTGCAGAGGACAAAAAAAGCTGGGAGAGGACTGAGTAGCAGTACAGGGACCATTTTGGATCATGGTGTCTTTGTTGTCAACAGGCTGCTTGCTGTCTTTCTCCCCAAACCTTCCACTTATTGCCAGCCTTGTAACATTTTGTGTTACACTAAGGATATATTCCCTGTACAGTAGCTTATCAGCAGATTTAAGTGACTTGCAGTCAAATGGTAACTTTGACTAACCTGATAAATCAAATTGATCATTGCTGTTTAAATTCTGCCAGTACTGTAATGGGAATTTTTTTGTTGTATTTTTTCTTGTTCTCCTCCCCATGCAGCCTTTAGTATAGGCTTGAATATGGCTTATTGAAACAGGAAAGGGAGTTACTTATGTCTAGACATCAAAATAGCTGTATCTTTAGATTGTCCACAAGCTGCAGGTCCTCCTTTAAGTAGTCATATAATTCAGAGTGTAGTGTGTGTGTGTATCTATCTATCTATACAGCTATCTATCTTGGTCTGTAATGGCTTCCAAACGGTTGTTGCATACACACTAGTGATCATATAAATTGAGTTTTGCTGTGGCATCAAACTGAGCTACTAAAAGCTGTGAGAGAAGCTTAATGGTCATAGGAAGCCAGTGCTGAAATGAGGGGGCTGGGGGGGAGAATCGAAACCAACTGGTAATTACAGAGGTCTTAGTCTGAACTATGCGGATTAATGATACTAAGGACAATAATATGGAATTTGTAGCATATAATGTGCAAATGACTGCTAAGACTCTGCAAACATTTTCTAAGTAATGAAGCTTGTCAGCACGTGGATGGATCATGATCAGACATTGCCCCCAACATTTCTAACATCAGTGTTACTTCTCTTTCAATCAAAGAAAAAACCATTTTCTTCCACTTTCGTCTTAGCATGTTTTTCAGACAGAGACATAACTCAACAGAAAGCTTTCTGTTTGGGGAAATGAACTTCTTGGCAGATCTGACTGAGCATGAAGTCTTCAGCTATGTATCTGGTTCACAGCTGATGGCAGCCAGAGTGTTTTTATGAAATCACTTTGGTGTTCTCTGAAGCTGTAGCTAAAAGGTGCTGTAGTCAGGATAGAAACCACAACAACAAGCACAAGCTTTTGTCCGTATATTGTTCATACATATTGTGGGGTTTGTTTCTGTGTTTATTTGTCTCTGTTGTTGGCATTCTGGAATGCATTTCTTAAATTTTATTTTCTAGCCTGCATTTATAACTTGGTTATATTTTAATGTGTATTGTTTTACAAGGAAATATGTTAACTGTACCAAGTTGTAAATCTTAGATTAAAGTTATTTCCTTTTAAGGAGCGGAGGGGTTTTTGTGATGAAGTGATCTAAAATAATGCTTTTTTTAGAAGCTAATTGAAAAAGAATATTAGTTTTCCTGACTAGTTTAAAACCTTTTTTTCAAGTTTGCTATTAGAACTTCAGCTTGTCATAACTCACTATTACAACAGAACAAAAAATCATGTAATTTTCCAAAAGAAGCCAAGTATACTTGACAGCCCTGGAAAGTTAAGTCCTTTATTTTTCAGTTTTACGGATTGGTACCACATTACATGTGATTTCTCTGACTACTCTGAATTTGTAATTGTTTCTGTTGGAGTGGGAGGGAGAATGAAACAGAAATAATCCATTCTACTCAAAGATAGAATTGTTGCACAGTTTGAGCTATGATCTCACTTCCCATTGCAGTGTCATCTAGCTAATGAGGTTTACATTTGGCAGTAAAATAAATGAAGGTGTTTGCTGTATTATTGAAATTAAATTTCTAAAGCATTTCTAATCTCTTAAGCATTTTCCTGCCTCCTAGATTGAAAAGTAGAAATCATAGTTGTTGCAATGAGAGTGAATTTTTTGCCTGACTCATCCTGATCTCATCTTGAGCTTCTCCACTTTTCGGGAAGAATTGCATGTGCCTTTCTTCTCTCAAGCTGGAGGATGTAATCTTGTTATTATTCTGGTTTCATCCTGGCTTTCTTTGCAAGATAGTCTCTAGGTTCAGACTTCACTGGGGGATGGTATTTGTGTTGAAACAAGAAAGGGATTTACTTATGTGTAGACATCAAAGTAAGGAGAAAAGAATTATTCTTTTTTTCCCCTGGGGTGGTGACAGTAGTAGTCAGGTAGCAAACTTCCTCCTTTTGAAAACCATCATTTCTTTACAAGTAAAAGATTTTGTCCAAAATGCATTTTTAAGAGAAAATGCTCAAAATGTACGAAAACTGACATTGTGCATATCTTATTTTCCCTCAAGTTTTTAATATTTTTTTTTTGTCTGAGGAAACCTGATTATGTTTAGAGTTCCTTTGTAATGTTTCTTTAGGTGTTTGTCTCCCTGGGATATGTAAATTTTCAGTACTTCTTCAATTAATATTCTTGTTTCCTCAGGACAAGAGTTGAATATGAAGACAAGAAGACAAAATACTTGTCTAGGCTCAGTGTCTTTTAAGTGCATTACATAAAGCATGTTTGTTTTTCCCTTACCTCACTTTTAAGCTAAATTGGGAGCCTTCCAAAACATTCTAGTAATCCACCATAAAACAAGTCTGTATTGATAAGCAGGTGCCAAAGTAATGTTTTAAACAGTGATAAAAATGTTACAATTACATAGTAATTCCATGTCTATTTTCATGAAATATACAAGTTTCGGTGGTTTTTTTTTTCATCTGAGTCAATAGAGATATTAAAAGAAAGTTTTGAACAGCTTTACATCATCAAAGTATAGTTGGCTAATTACTTTTTCCTGATGCTTCTGGTTGAATTCTAGGCAGCATGCTCAGCGCTCTCAGTACTTAAAAAATGCATTCAAATGAGCTGTCTTCAAAGGATACTGGCTTCAAGGCTAGGGTTGTTTGGTTGCTTGTGTTTGTTTGGGGTTTTTTTGGTGGGTTTTTTGGTTTGTTAGGGTTTGGGGTTTTTTGTTGATGGTGTCTTGGTTTTTTGGTTGGTTTTGTTTTGTTGGTGTTTTTTCTTTGTGGGTGTTTGTGGGTTTTTTTAGAAACTTCATATAACATGTATTTAATTTTACCTATAGCAGTTTGGATATATTTCAAACTACTTATGGGATGTTCTGGAAAAAATATCTATGTAGTAATTAATGTGTGCTCTGTAATTATCCAGGAGTTGATCTTTTGGTGGACCAGCCATTTTCCCTTGAAACACTGACATCCCTGGTGGAACTGACCCGTTTTGAGACCTTGACACCACGGTTTTCAGCCACTGTCCCTCCCTGTTGGGTAGAAGTCCAGCAAGAGCAGCAGCAGAGGCGGCATCCTCAGCATTTACACCAGCAGCACCATGGGGATGCAGCTCAGCATACTCGAACTTGGAAGCTACAGACAGACAGGTAGATAGGATTAACGGTGCAAAAACAATTGTGTGTATTGCTTAACTACTTCATATAGCTGGTATAATCACAAATTACATCCCATTTAATTGTTTTTAAGTAGTGTGCAAATTTAAGAACACGTACTTTCAAAGATCATAATCCCTATTTGGTAGTTTGCATTATAGGTCTTTGTGAGATTGTCAGAGTTGTTCTAGCAGACCTTGAAACAAATTAAAAAGTTGTTTTGAATTGGTATATTTTTGTTTGCCAAATGTTGCTACTTCATTATATAATTACACAAGCACATTTCCCAGAAATTACATATATTCTGGATTGTTTCTATAGAAGTCTGATTCACCCTTCTTCTGCATACACACATTCTTAGTACATTTTTAAATCGGAAAAGACAAGCTGCAGGTGCCAGCATGACTAATTAGTTGTCCTAAAAAAAATTATATTGTAATTTATTTTAAAATGTGAAGCTAGAATCTGGATTTATGTCTGTTCGTGTCAAGTTAAATCTTTATACATGAGACATTTACTTAAGGCAGTATAGAGCCCTAGTTGAGCTAAAATTTAGGCAGTATCTTCATTGAAATGAACTGCACCGACATGGAATGTGCAGTACTACTTAGATTTTGCACGTGGCATGAGAACTTGGAATTCCTCTGGGATCCTAAAGACTACGACAGCAGCATTGCGGTCTCCTTGAAGAGTTGCTTAAAACCTACTATAAGTAGCTTTGCATAGTTTTTCTGAAAAATGCTTGGAGATGCAAAATATAGATATAAATTGTGTTGTGTGTTTTATTAAGGGGTGGGTGTAATAAGGCACTTGGGTCAGACTGTCACACATCTGTCACATTGATGTATGAGATTTGGATAGTAATGTAGAATCTAAATGTCTGTACACTGGAAACAATGAAATAGCCAAAGGATGCTAGGGGAGCTAGAGATCATATATGGGGGGAAAAAAGCTTGTCATATAAATAAGTGAAAGCTAGGATGTGAGAATGAAGCATTCCAGGTGGGAAAGCAAGTCTGGAAGGTTACAGTTGCAGGTGTTTCCAGGACTGACACCTAACATGAGCTAAATTTGCTTTAATTAAATGTTCATAAGCTATGGTTAAAAACTTATGGTTAAAAAGTGCTTAAACAGGCTTTAAAACCTTTATTTATCTTGTGGATTTTCTTTGTGTAAGTAAAATATTCTGTATGTAACAAGTGGAAAGGAGGTGGTTCCTTGCAAAGTAACTTCCAGTTAAACACTGATTATCCAGTGTGTTCAGCAACGGTTGAAAAGTAAAAAAAGATACCAATATGAAGATATAAGAAAGCAAACAGTGAAGGGAATAGCTGTTAAATGGAAGGTAATAGGTGGAACTTTAGCTTATGGATATTGTTTCATTAGAGGAAAAGAATTATGCCCGCTACAAAGTAAAACAGGAGTGTAAAGACGTAAAGTTAAATTTTTGGTTTAGTACTGGAAATCTTTGACAGCTGCTAAATAACTCATTATTAAAATGATTACATTACAGTCCCTTTGTTCATAGGGTAGAACATATGATCTTAAGATTGAGAGCAATGTTAGCTCTTAATTAAAAGTTATCTGGGAAGAAACTTTTTGATTTCTGGATTATTTTGTTGGTCCTTAATATAAGTTCCTTTTATCTCCTCTTTTAAGAGTCTCATACTGATTCCTATAAAGATGTGTGATTACAGGGTTAGATGGATGAGTAATGCAATTTGATATGGTAATTCTTTTGCTTGTCAAATAGATAGGCGATAATCCTGTAAATGTATTTTAGGGAATGGCATTATATTACACTCACACTCT